AATTTGTACACACAAGGAACTTCAAGTCCTAGTCCAACATCACAATTCACTCTTGGTCCTGTGTTACAGAGGCTGACCTGTAATGCAGCCACCTGCATAATCAGGCCATTTAAAACTGGCCAAAAGGTGACCAGATTAAGCAGGTTCCACTGTATGTGTGGGACTCTTCAAATTTTTCTTCTTGGTGAGTTATACGCTACTTGAATTTCATCTGAGTGTTTACTATAGTCTAAGGATCCTAAACTCTCCAAAGTCACTCTGTCTATCTAGGCAACAGTATTTGTGCCATATAACATCATAATTGTACTTAGAGGAAGAGAAAAACCTGAAGCTTGCTTCTCACATTGTCTGCTGCACAATTGATAATGAATGCCACACCTCCAAGCAGTGGGTAAGTGGAAATCCATGATGCTATTTTCCAGTGTCACTCAGATTTGATCAAAATTTACACATGTACTTGCAGTTATGCTTGGCTACAGCTAAGGCTGGGATAAGGCTATAATAGCTAAGATAAGGGGCTTCGCATAATTTAAAAAATCAAACAAGCGAAGTAGGGACAAATTAGCATGTAGAAATAATTACAGTAATTCTAGCAGTTATTATTAAATTTAACATTAAAATTGCCAAGTATTTATTAATTATAACTGTGACCACTTAAAATTATCATACTGCCTCGAGTAGGTATTGACTGCACAAGCTCAGTTATATTGACAACTATACACCCACTGTACAAGATGTTCTTGAATATGCATTTACTCACAAAAGCATGCCAGATACGATCAATGTCAGTTCCACTCTCCTCCACATTATAGTCAACATAAGCTGATACAACAAAGTCAAGATAAGCTGATATGAGTAGTGGGTGAAGAGTATTGTCTTTAATACAAATCAATGCTTCTCTAAATGTGATAATTTTGCATATGTTCTTAATAGTGTCCAAATTGACACCCTGAAAAAGTGAACATTAAAAACATTAAAAACTGAAAAGAAATCGCTGACTTTGCAAATCTGACTGAACAGTTTCAGTTGTGCAATAAAAAAGTTAAACATCTTCTTGTTGGAATCATTGCATGCTGTTTCCTGAAAATATTTAAGATCATAGTATTATAATACCAATAAGTAACCTTGGAGCAAATTTCAGAAAGTGGGCCAGCTACATGTATATCCTTTGGATTCACAAAAATGATAACACCATCATCATTCACTTTAGTACATATTAAATATTGTTGAACCTGCATATCATATCAAAATAATTGCAACTAACAGTTGTATGTGTAATTTCACAAAGTTTTGACTCACCTCTTCACTAAGAATGATTTTGCAAATGATACCTAAAAATGTGCATACACAGTATATGTAGATGCACTGTTATGATTGTACATACTCTGTAAATATCGATTAGGTTTTCCAGCAGTAAAGCACAAGGTACTTAATAAATTGAAAACAGAAACATCCTGTGATGACAAAGAAAAAGAAGAGTGGGTACTGGGTAGAGTGGAGGAAATAAAAATATTGTTTGTTGTTGTATCATAACTACAAGTACATGTACATGTATTTCTTGCCACAAAACTATTGTTAGCATTATTTGTTATTAGCTAGACCACTCCAATAAAATTCATAAACACTCATTTTGAATTAATTATATACAGGTGATGAATTTTATGAAAATAAACAAACGCATCCACCCACAATTGCCAACAGGCCCCTTTTGTAATCGGACAACATTATTATTATTATTAGTTTGATGATTAAAATTTACATTTCACCTGCTTCTGAAGAATACTTTGTATAAAACCTGTGCGTTTTATCAATTTTTCTGCTACTTTAGTAGTAATAAGCCTTCAACAATAACAGATATGAATAAAAGATAATGAAGTATCACTTTAATTATTAATACATGTAGTTAAAATGTTTGTGATAGTAATAGCAAGTGTACTCTTGGTAATAGGTATAGTCTCACAATATTCCTTTTTTGACAAAGGACTAAGTAATTCTGGCTAAGTAATAGGTGGTTAAAAATAAGACTAACTCTACCGATAAGTGAACACTGTTACTAATTGTGGTGGGTTATTTTTGTGACATTGCTTTGAGGCATACCACAAATTAAAACTAACAAATTTTCTGAAGTGCCATCCCTTAAAGGCCATGTAATCTATCAACCACGGCAAACCACACAATATTAGACTCAAATCGGTATATGTACATAACTCACAGTACACGTATTACATACATGTACATGTACCTTTCATCCTTCACAAGACAACATAAGACATCTTCAATGCCAATGCTTTCCCCTATCTGTAACATTGCATTTTATAATTAATCAAAAATATTAAATAAACAAACCTGGTTAATAAGGATATCCAAAAATCTTTCATCAGCAAGATAAAAATGATTATCTTTACTGGTAAACTCTACAAAAACCTGAAGGATAGCTGACATTTTCTCTTTTAAACTACAAGAGGCATATAATATTAACTTTGTACTAAATGCAGCAAAATTACAGCTTACAATTTAGTGGAAGGAATTGCTTCACAAAGAAAATCCACTAATAATTCAAGGCACTAAAAACAAAAAATTCAGTCACTAAGATTTTTAATAATACACAAAAAAACATGTAAACTATGATAATTGCACAGCCAATTACACTTACATGTATGTCACCTCTTTTTGAAAATTTTACCCTACATGTATTTGCTCTGTGTATTATTACTGTACATGTATAAACAATATACACGTGCATCTGTGGTATAATATATAATGTGGTATATCTATTGTCTTCAGTTCTTCTGTTGATCCTTTACACATACACCATTCTACATTCTTCTCTTCTGTCTCATTTGTTCTATGATAACTTGAGTTTGTCAGTTTAACTTCAACTTGTTACCAGTATTACAACAACACTTACATGTAGCTCTTCATTTTACAATAAAAAATAATTCACTGCATATAATTATGTCACAACCTGGCACATAATTTGGGTATACCATTGCATTACCTGTGTCACTTGTAACATGCTTGCTCTAACTGACTGCTTGGTGTCTACATCTTTTAGCCATTGTAAGAGCTCAACCAATACTTCAATACATGAATCAAGAGTTTCATCAACATCAGAATGAGGTGTTTCAGATTTTAAAATCTACAAAATGAAGAAAATTGAAAAAACAATGCCAGTACCACAATTATGTAGATGTACAAGACATTTATTACCCGACAATATTCCTTAAGTGTGGCAGTCACTCCAAATACGTAATAGTAATCATGAATGACATCAGACTCAATCTGTAAAATAAAGACAGCACTATGATTACACAGAAACCACATGGGCCAAATATAAGAATACAATGTATATGATACATAATTGAATGATACCTTTTCAATACAAAAGCACAGTTTAACAGGTTTTTTCCGTTCTTTTTCCTTTTCCTCAAGACTAACCTAAAAATGAAGACAACAAATGACAAAGTACATGTGTATATTAGAAAATGTACATGTACATGTACGTGTACAACTGCATAATTATGTGAAAGAAATATTTTCGCTAATAAATGCATTTGTGAAAATAAACACAGACTAAATATACCATATATGCTGAAAATATGAAAGAAACTACATATAAATAATTAGATGATCTGGCAAGACTTTAAAAAACTGTTTCAATAACCTTATAGATATCAGGTCTAGTATATGTACATATGCTAACCACAATGGCCACAACTACAAGCACATGAAAATTGTACAAGTGCATGGTACTTCAAATAGGCAGTGACTTAAGGTTTTTTACAATGGCACAAATAAAGTGCATTGATTGTTTTTAGACTAACGGGTATTTGCACTAAACTCATCTCACCTTCAGAGGTGGATTATAAAATGTCATACATTGCAAGCAACGGAAACAAAAATACAAAAAGTACATATACATGTACATGTAATTCAACTGCTAGAGTGTTCAAGATTGATGCTTATTATTCCAGCTGAATTCCAAAAACCTTAACAAAGCACTAATTAAATGACTCACAGAGTAGGTGGTAGTATGGTGGTAATTTTGGTAAATTCGGCATTTTGACATAGATAAAATAAAGCTACCATCACTAAAAATTATGTGCATGCTCAATGGCGACACAAATCATGAAATTAAAACCTACCAATAACCAAAAATTTAGCAATTTGCCAAAATCATATCCCTCCTACATGTAAATTACCAGCTACAGTATACTCTTTAGAAAAGTTTAACTTGTGCAATAGTTTTATACACATTACATAATGTTCAGATGAGTTAATAACTACATATACAACTTATCAATGAAATAAGTGTAACGATGTTACAGTAGACTGTAGTGCAGGGTATTTTATAAACATTATTTACAACTACAAAAAAGAGAAGATATGGAACCTAATTAATAGGAGACTATAGAGAAGTACATGTAACTAAACTAAATTTGATAAGTTCTAAATAAAAATTAAAAACTATAGAACAGGTCTCTCACAGGGTTTTGGCATAGTACTCATGCAAGTTCTTGTCAGTCAATTTTAAATTTCTTGAAAAATTTGACAAAATAATTTTCATACACTGTTATTGTATAGGGTATTTTTCTTCAAAAAATTAATTAATACAAAACAGTTCCATTTTAACAATTTTCCTAATATAAACAAATGTTCTTGTGTTGTATGGAAATTATTGACAGCTAATATGTAAGTCACTGCATTGTAGTACAGGATCTTTGGTCGAATTTCATAAGAAGTGACCAGGAGATAATTATCTATTTTCATAAATTTATTTGATAAATATACTGTTTTTATGTTGTGTAGCACATTCAATATGATTTCAATCAAAATTGAATTTTAACAAAAAAATTGTAAGTTATTGAAAAATTTGGTCAAAGCTAGTCTCTGTTATAATACAGTGTCTTGAGCCAAATTTTGCCAAAAATGACTAAAAATAAATTTTCTATTTCTATAATTTTTCTGAAACATATTGCTGTTTGTATGTTGTGTAATAGTCAATATTAGATATTTTTACAAATTATTTTCAAAGTTGCACAAAAATGGGTCATAAACTCTATACTAGAGTACAGGGTCTTTGGCCAAATTTTGCCAAAAATGACTATGAGCTACTAATTTTCCATTTATATTACTTTTTCTGAAACATATACTTTTTCTCGTCATATGTAGCAAGATTGAGTTAATTCTGATCATAATATATATTTCTAAAGTTGTTACAAAAGTCATCTATGTAAATGTACAACAATACTAATGTAGTGCTTCTACACTATAAAGCATCAGTTTTCAGCTCACATAAAATGCTACGTGTGGGAAACCCTGCCATAGAATTAAACTAAGGGGACAGTTTTGACACTTAAAATGAAAGATACAGGAAAGGAATGAATGGATAAGAGAGGACAATGAAAATTTATAATGTGAAAGACAAATATTTACCTCAAACCATTTGATCATAGACACTGATTTGATGTCTGGACACTGCTGAATAGATGCCTTTGCTAAATAATAAATTATACAAATGGAGTAACACTCAATCATGGGGGAATTTACATGTACATGTACACTCATGCACATGTATAGTAACCTATAGTCAAATTACAGCTTTGGGAAGTAATAAGAACTAATTATACTAATTGGTCACATTTAATCATTTCTGTATACATATGTAAAACAGTGGCAGAGGAAGGAATATGGAAGTACGGCACCACAATTTTTAACACATTCATACACATTTCCTTTAGCAGAATGGGTATTTCTTTCAATATTTTGATGTCTTACATGTAAATGGTGGCAAGAGTGTAGCACAAAGTCGAACCTGAAGCTCTGCTAGCTTGCCAAAAGGGTGTTTTGCATGCAAAAACTAAGCTATCATTACTAATATGTGTGACATCATTGTTTTTTAACCGATCAATTGGAGGTGACCCTGGAGTGGCTCTGCTATTGTACCTACATGCATGATTGAAATTGTAAAAATAGTCTCTTACTTGGTACTAAAATCATTTCAATTTTTTCATTAGCTGCCTCATCACCTTTCACAAGTTTCTTCTTAATCACAACAAAACTGCCATAAGTTAAACCCTGATTTTTAGTTTGCTATAAAGAAACAAGAAAGTAATAAAATATTCAACTAGTTTTATCATGTATGGCAAGGCACAGGAGTAAGGGCACTGAATTAATCCTATTTGTTACCAGTAACAGTCGTCACAGGGTAACAGCAATACTATTGAAGCTACATTTCTTTCCTAATGTGTACATTATACGGCTTAAATAATTCCTTTTATTTTGCTTCAATCCTTTGTTTCCATTTTTCTCACTTTTAGTTTTATGAATTAATGACAATAATGATAATAACAATAATAAAAATCTCATCATAATGCTATTATATCAATTGTTATTCTCTATTGTTCTTTCACTTCTTTGTCAGCTAAGGCCTGGTTTTCATATAGCCAAACAACACCCTTACAACACTGCTGCAGTCATGGAGATAGAAATCAGGTCTATCTAGTCTATCTCTACAACAGTTGTATGCTAACCACAGAATCCATATAACAGCCAGGAAATAGGCGCGTGTTTACCACGTGAATGCATGTGGCAACAATAATGTCTACTCCTAGACGTTTGGTTAAATGCGGAAAGAAGAGAAAGCTCTTAAGCGAGATATTTTATGTGTTAAGTCATATTAATTGAGCTGAATTCCTCCTCAACTATGGCTGCATTGGGTTAGCTATTTTAAATTTTGCTTTCTATAGCTGCTAATTTGATCACAAGTAAAAAGGAAAAGGTAACATATCTTGATGATGGTGAAGTTTTGGAGAAACTTGGTCTTCCTGCCAGAATACTTGTAGCCCAATTGATGGAGCATGTCCCTATAAAATATTTGAAACACAGATCACAGTACATGTGGTAAAGTCATGCATACACATGTTTCATTTGTTCAACTTTGTTTGCAAAGATGAAAAATAATCCTTTATTTTTCACTTAAATTGATTAGTATTTACAATTTTTTATTTTACGAGAGCAGAGTAGTTAAGTCTTACAGTCTTACAGTCTTACATTACATGCTGCACATCTGGTAAGAATTGACATGTACATATATTAAACTACAAGTGTCATTAATGGTATTTACACAGCTCAGCAAGTTAACAAAAGAAGTAGATTTTGAAGAATTTTCAACATTTTTTGAAGATGTTTGGGCTCCTACTATTAAAGACTGCCATTGTAGAAGAACTAGCATGACATTTGAATTACTGATCAATGATTTGTCGTGGTTTATGGAGTTAAAAGAGGTATTTATCATTATTACAAATGTTTGCTTACGACATTTCAGTTTAAAGAATCTGTATGTATTACATTTACAGCCACTCAATTTAATGGAGATTTCATTGCAATGCCAATGAATATTGCCAATAAAATTTTCACTGTACCATTACCAAAAGCCAAAGTTGCTATCACTGCCCATGGCAGAAAGTGTAATTATCAAGTTCAATACAAACACATCACAGCTAAGTCATACTTGATACCTCAGAGTGCTGTTGGAAAGGATACGTTGGAACAAATTAAACAAGGTGAGCCATTCTTATTAAGCACATTTAGATTTTTCTGCTCTGTGTAGCAAAGGAGCTAACAGTCCAGAGCAGAACTAGAAAACATTCAACTTCACAGTATAAAGCTCCAGTACATAAAGGTATTAATTATTTAAGTGAAATAGTCCATGAAAGGAGTTCTTTAGATTCTCAGAGTAAACAGTCAGACAGGAGTGACACGGAAATAGACAGCAATGGGTCTCTCTCTGAATGTGCAGTGACTACTCCTCTTCCTGGTAATAGTGAAGCAGGTAATGATGACTCTCGGTCTGAAGATAACCATTTCTGTTTTTCTGATAACACTCAAACTCTTCCTCAAGAGGAAGGTTAGCCTAAGCAGAGTCCAAAATACTTTGTAATAAACTATATAACTGATATGCATTGTATGCATGTACATATATTAAGTATACTATCAGTAATGTAGCCTGTTTTTTTTTAGAATTCCAGGGAAACGAGACAGGCAACTTCATCCAGAGTGACTCTGAAGTACACGTAGACACAAATGGTTCTGTATCTGAAGATCTGGGCCATTTGAGTAAGACTTCTTCATCTGAACTTAGTGTAATGTCACCTGAGACTGAAGGATTAAATAATGGAAGACTAGGTAGGAAAACAGTTAATGATATTTGTATTGTAGAAATACAGTTGTTATTTCTATTGACATTAACAGCTATTGGGGTAAAGCTGTGGGTGTCTAAATGTAATAGTTTCAATTTTGATTGTAACAATTATCTTTAGATCCGAAAAATACACAAGCCACATCTATTGATCGATCAAAGGTGATGTCCCTGATCAGACCTGTTAGAGCTACACAGCCTCAGGAAGATGCAAGCGAAAAAGAGGATAGTGAAGAACTATATAGCTACAAATGCAAGATTCATAAATACACTGGAAAGAAGGCAAAGTGGTTGATGGAGTGTGAAGAATGTCCTGTCTGGATTCATATGTATTATTTAGGATATAAAGCTAACAAAAAATTTGCTACTTATATTTGTCGAAATTGTAAAAATAAGTAACACTAGTGTAATTTAATTACTAATTAGACTGTAATAATTAGTAAAATTATTTTCTTTACGTAATTTGTTATTGTTGCTATTATTTACAGCTACAAATATTCCAACTATACCAAAAACAATGCCACATAAGTGTAGTGATAAATCATGCTTACATTACATGTACAATTACAATATAGCCAGGGAGACTAACAAAATGCCAAAGATGATGAGAGTTACGAGTCCGCATGATATTGAAAATATTGTTTTTCAATTTTTTCCAAAAATTAAGACATAATTGAAAATCTCACAAGCATATGAAATATGTGATGTAAGATTGGAATTCCACAAGAGGCAAGGTTTCATATATGACATGTATTTGGCCCACGTTACCCTTGTTTCTCTTGTTACACTTGTTTCTCTTGTTGCCCATGTTTCTCTTGTTACCCACATTACCCTTGCTTCTCCATTAACCCCTATTACCCTTGTTTCTCTTAATTGTTACCCATGTTACCCTTGTTTCTCTTGTTACCCATGTTACCCTTGTTTCTTTTGTTACCCATGTTACCCTTGTTTCTCGTGTTACCCATGTAACCCTTGTTTCTCTTGTTACCTATGTTACCCATTTCTCTTGTTACCCATGTTACCCTTGTTTCTCTTGTTACCCATGTTACCCCTGTTACACTTGTTACTCATGTTACCCCAGATACCCTTGTTTCTCTTGTTACCCACATTACCCTTGTTTCTCTTGTTACCCATGTTACCCTTGTTGCTTTTGTTACCCATGTGCCATGTTACCCCTGTTTCTCTTGCTACCCATGTTACCCCTGTTACTCTTGTTACCCACATTACCCTTGTTTCTCCTGTTACTCTTGTTGCCCATGTTACCTATGTTACATATTACCCATGTAACCCCAATCACCCCAGGTACTCCATTTACTTATGTCACCCTTCACCAAAGTTACACCTGGTACCCACGTTACTACTGGTACCCACGTTGCCCTCGTCACCTATGTCACACTTGTTACTGTTACCCTTGTTATCACTGTTAACAATACTATCCCTTATATGGAACCGTTCATTACACAGCTAAAGCTCATTCAAGATAGTTAAGGTAATGTGAAATGTTTCTTATGACAAAAGCAATGCAAATTGCTATGTGGTTCATTATAAAGCTATTCAATGGCATGTAATGAAGCAAGTGCTGTTACCCTGCAACAACTGTTACTGGTAACAAATAGGATTAATTCAGTGCCTTTACTCCTATACCTTGCCATGTCTAAGTTTTATAACTAACTCACAGTATCAACTGACTCTAAAATAAATCCAGATTCTTCTTCAAAATTTTTCTTGTCTAGCTCTTTCAAAATCACCTATAGAATGGTAATAATAATACAAAATGCACAGGCAAAGGTAGCAATTATAAGACTACACCTTTCCTTTAATTACAGATAAATACTGCTGTGTTGGCAAATGTTTGATGTAACAAGTAACTTCAGACCAACACTTAAGCTGCTTACCTACATGTACATTGTACATATAAATCAATTAAAAACTGTAAAAATTCACAGAATAACTATTGTATAGCACTTTTATTTCGAGGAGCAAAACTTTTGCTATTTTCACGGGTTAGCATGCAACCGCAAAATTAAAGATCTGCTAAAATTTCAATTACCATTAAAGGCGTGGCACTACCATTGTGAATCCACAAAAGTAATTTCAGCAAAAAATTGATTTTATAAATCTGCAAAATTATAGCTCCGCAAAATTAAAGCACTATACGGTATTATATACATGTACACACACAAATGCTCTCAAGATAAAAAATGGCTTACCACATGTACCAGCTTTCATTTCTAACACCCAAAAACAATCACCAGATAGGGGAGGATCTTTTAGTATCCCATGAACTGATTCTCTTTTTCTTGCTCTAACTATAAAATAGGAGAAAAAGAGCTGAATTACCATTGTTCTATTTTTTTATTTTGCTGATACCATTATGTCTTAATTACAAAAGATTAATAGTTGTTATATTTTCAATCAGGATGGGACCAAAACGAATTTTGGAACATTTGAATGTTCATTCACTAATAAGAACATTCAAATGTTGCAGCAAGCATTCAATTGTAATAAGTGTGTCAGTGGGTGTGATACATATGACACCCACCGACACCTACTAATCAATTACATATAAATTGAAATATACACAGGGTCCTGAAATCAATTAGAGTGATCAAACTAATTGATTAATAAGTCCATGATTCAAAAGAAAGTTCAAAAGCTAAAATTTTACACTGATCTCATCTCTAATAATAACAAGCATATGCACAAGCACAAGCATTACAGCATTTCTGTGTGCTTAAGCACAATTACAAGCACTTCAGGAAGTGCTTATACAAGCATCATCATTTTTCTACTACAAGTACATGTACATGTACATGTACATTATGTGTGTATGTACAATGTTTAAGGAATATTCATAATGCTTAATGAACATAGAAGTTTACAACAAAAGAATCAAATAGATTCAGAGAATGAGAGAAGATGAGGGTCTAAATTTCTGAAGTGCTAATCATAATTATTGAAAGTTGACTGTTAGGTAGCTTGCTACATGTACGTGATGTACATACTTACACTCAATGAAATGTGCTTAAAAAGTGTGAAGCACTTGCAAAGTGTGAATGGTCATATGTTAACTTACTGTACAATGCAAAAGATGCAAATTTTACAGAACTCTTAACATATTTGAAAATTTGTAAATATATAATCCTTAAAAGTTAAGTAAATGCAGTAAAAATGATAAACAATATAAATTGGCAAGATTTAGAAAATGGTTTTACAAAATTTAAAATTTTGTGCTGTACAATAAATTGCATAATTAATTATTTGAGATTAATTACTTTGCACATTTTTCTACTAAAAACAATAAGCTTAATGCCATATTGACAACTATACATGTACTACTCATTGTCATACTGATTAATAAATCCTGTTTGGCACAAAAATTGTAACATACCACTTGTGATTTTTTCAGGCTCTTGATTTGCAACTCCAGCTAAGTAGCTTTTAAACTGATCATTAAACAGCATGACAACATCAAAACTCTATTAATAAAAAAATAATAACACTAATGTCAATATTACAATTAATCATAAAAGTATGTAACTGATGTATTTATAATACCTTTATTGCATTAGAATGAAGTTGGTTACTATTGTCCACAGGTGACGAAATTTCAAATACAGACTCTCTGACTGCTAACTTCACTTCATACATGTACCTGTGGTAAAACAAACATTATGTACAAGCACTAAATGTGTAAATCAACTGAAATAAAAAACATCAAAATGTGATTGCAAAAACAAAAAACAACAACAGACAAACAAAACACAAGCAGAAACTACAAGGAGAAAATATCAAAAAAATTGTACCATAGGGCACCTTTTTTTCAAGGGCTATAGGTTTCATGCATCTTATTTTGTGGATTTAATTTTCGCAAATTTACCTTAGGGTGGGTATTAATTTCGACACTTAGGCCACATTTAAATTTTCATTGGAAAACGGAGACTTTTAGTCACGGATACGTGTTTCGTTTACACTAAAACACATGAAAACGCATACTTATTTGGAGACATTTGAAAACGAATGGATACTACTATAAACGAATGATAAGTTCCAATGAAATTATGAAAACGCAGCTGCTGGACTAGTGTAAACACCTGAAAACAGTAATAGCAAAAACTATTCGGATTCAGTGGAGCGGAGTAGTGTAAACGTGGCCTTAATTTTAGCATTTTTAGGGAGTGTACTTAAAAATGCTAATTCAACCAGCCGCTAATAATAGTCATTATGTACTTGTGTAAACAAGTACAAGATCTGTAACAAGATAACAGTAGATCGGGTGATCCTTTTGAGTGTTCTGCACTAAATGGATACATTGGGCTTCTTGAGTAGTGTTATGCTTTTAAATGGGAGTTTCATCATTGGTTTTCTTCCTATTTTCACTAATATTACATTTCGCCAAGAGTGGATAATTATTTAGGGAGAGTGTCTAACCCGCCTATATTCTGTGATACCACAGCGCGTAAGTTTACATAGCATGGTTATTAGCACCAAGTAGCCATTCTTGCGTCCTTATACTGATTCCAAGTCAGAAAGCTGCAAATAAGAAAGAGCCAACCATTAGAAGAACATATTCCCGTCTGCTCCTGCTTGTTTCTCGCACTACATGATCCTCAGAGTGGAGATATAAGTCTTAAAGTTGCCTGCATGCTCCAAGCGCCATTTTATCAGCCACACCCATAAATTTGAAGATTACTGAGATTAACTCTGTATACTTGCAAAAAACGGATGTAAACATACGCGCTGTGGTATCACAGAATATAGGCAGGTTAGACACTCTCCCTAAATAATTATCCACTCTTGATTTCGCTAAATCAGGGTCCCCTTGAAAATGCTAAAATTTAAGAGCGCAATTAATACCCACCCTAAGGTATGCTGTCTGCAATCTTAATTGTACCATATTAATTTAATTTTCACGGAAGTAATTTTCGCGAATTTTAAAGAAAATCACAAAATTTACAGCCCTAAAAAAAGGCACACTACAGTATATTCACTATTTTTACACATACATGTACAGCAACATGATAAAATTTTGTTCAGTCAAAAAATATATTTTTGTGTACATGTACTGTATATGTAACTTAATGTATACCTTGAATTTTGTAAGTCACAACATAGCATGTTATAGCCTATTAGGTGAACAGACTCAAGCTTTACCTCATCACAATAAAATACCTACATGTGTACATGCACAAATACAAAAAGAAGCTTTTTTTTCTTTTTTTCAAACCTTACAGTCATTCCTCTTTGTTTATTGGTCTGACTTCGTGAGGGAAGTATACGAAACAAACAAGTTTCCTTTTTGAATTCTTTAACCAAGTGTAACTTTACCTTTTAAAAAAGAAATATGAAAATCATTGTTTTTATGCATGTGAAATCTTGTGGCAGCATAAACCATATACCGTATAGCGGAAAATTTTCGTGGTCCAAAATTTTCGTGGATCCGTCTAAAAATCAATTTCGTGGCTTTAATTTTCATGGTTTTCTACAATTCGGCCATCTTAAACCGTATAAAATCAATTTTCGCGGATTTTATTTTCGTGGATTTTGAAAAAAACGCGAAATCCGCAAAAATTTTGGGCCACGAAAATTTTCCGCTATACGGTATTTTAAGTAATGTGCATGTTGTAGCCTTTTAACAGCAAAAGATAATAAATTTTATGAAAAGAAACAAGAGCCATTATCATAAAAGAAAAATTTTTGTACTGGTAAGTTCATTTAGCTAGATACATGTAGTCAATCCAGGTTATACTATGATTTTTCTAGTCTGATCATACCATAGCCGGCCTTGGCTAAGACTAAGAGTCTATTATTTTCCCTAGTACATGTATGCCTTTACATTTTTCTTCTTAATTTTCTGTTGTCATAAAACTGTGTAAATTCTAACAGACAGAAAACCTTTGGAAACAATTATAGTATTTCCCCATAACCCCAGCCACCTAGTCATGTTTTTACAGAAATTGGGTCGCATAAAGAAGAATGCACTGGCACACTTTTCCAGTTTTTGGATAAGTATTGGGATTAGGCTTTAGTTTTTTTATTTAGCCATACCCCTCTAACAGTGCCGTTAGTCTCGCAGTGCCGTCTTCTTTGAGCAATCCAAGAAATTTAACTTACATCTGAACAATTTATATTCTTTGAGTATGCAAGATACATATTAGACGCAACATGAAGAAACTATATGAATTGAGAATTTTATTATTGGGGCATCTATAATTCATCTGCTGACCTTTAATTTCCTTCCATAGACTAACTTAGTCTGGACATGCTTGGTGTCAGTGGTATCAGCCTGCCGACCTTGATTTATTTTCTAACAAAATCATAGCTAGCCAGATCTAGTAGATAAATGTTATACATACTGTTTTCCATGGTTGGGCTTCAAGTGGTGATATTCTTAAGAAAGAAAGAAGAACAAAAACCAACTCAGAGTCTCTCAGATCACAAAAATAACTGACTCAGCAAAATTGAAGATACGCATATTATTTAATATAGGGGCTGGGCTGGGCTGGTTATTTTTATTTAATTTTTTTACCACGATTCTTGATTTTTGCAAGTTCCCGCGCAGTGATGTGTATAAATTCTATATATTTCTACTTTTACAATGTCCTCTACTTTTCCACACTTCGCTGCCTCGCATCCTCTAGCTAGCAGCAATGCAAATTTTGGTCGCTATAGATTCCCCACAGAATTGGTAACTTCACTGGTAATAGGCTATGCCTGTGGTCACTGAGCATGCATCCGAGCTATGATCCCAGGCCCTATAATGATAAAATAACCTTCACTGACTTTGTTGTGTCACATTTTTCAGTGAAGACTTGAAATGAACGATCTGGAACATAGATAAATTATGAAACCTTATAAGTCCACTTACGGTGATAATGAGAGTCCTCTGTGATAGTAACACAGCAGTTTGAGCTGCAAAACAAAAATGTGCTGTAATTCATGCATGCAGATATCATGCATGCAGAATTCTTGCACGCATTGCAGAATTCTTGCACGCATTGCAGAATTCTCGCACGCATGCAAAATTCATGCACGCCGGCGCCCAAGGCTAGCCATGCATGGGCTAGCTAGCCCGCGGTCAAAAACATACATACCTTGGAGTCCGTGCATGCAAAAATCCTTTAGGACTCCAAATGAAACTGATGACATCTCCTTCGCACACAGGGCTATGATCTGCCATTTTCTGTAGATCGCAGTACTGAGATCTAGACTAGTATTCTGCTATTGATAACTGACTGCTTTTTGTATTAGTGAAAACTGGATACGGAGAATGTCTACGGCTATTGTTGAGATTACGGAGTAAATTACTGAGCCTGAGATCATAATAAAAATTAAATAATAATTTAATTTAAAGTTGAGCTCTGCATTTTACAGTTCAGAGATCACTGCATAATTAAGTATGTATTTCAACATCAGTAGCGTGATTTAATAATTGTGCTTATCATGCTGCAGCAATATGCTGATCTTGCAATTGATGCACAAGCATCTAATTCTACAATGGTGAATAAATATGCATAAATCATAGACTGAATATAAATTACAATAAACAATACACTGCAACACAGGTGTCTTTATGTTATAAATCTGCCATTGCATTGATGGCTAGATATAGTGCATGCATATGATCATAATTGTCTGATTCCCCATGGCTATAGCAAAGTATATAAGATGAGGATTTGCAGCAAGAAAAGGTGGACAAGTGAGCAGACATCCTGAGAGAGAGAGTGAAAGAGTAAGAGTGGGAGTGACAATTAACAGCACAGGATGTAGTAATTAGGCAGTATACTATTACATGCCATGGTCTCAACTTACTCTGAGACCATGTAGCAGGTAATAATTTACTCTTGCAACATTTTTGCTAAAAAATTGTGGTTAGAGTAAGCCACTCATTATCGCACACCATCTACTATATTCGAACATCATTTCTCACAGTTGGCTGAGCAGAAGGCATTGATAACACATCTGCTGTGTAGACCTGGTTTTAAATTCCTTTATTGCTGCAGCAAGCTTCTTCCTAATACTGTCTTT